TTGCAGTAACCAATCTCAATAAACCAGGAAAGGTTAGATTAGTCTAGGACGCAACAGCTAAGGTAAATGGAGTGTCCCTAAACAGCATGGTGCTGAAAGGTCCAAATCTTACAACTCCTCTACACCCAGTGCTCTTTAAGTTTCGACAAAAGCGAATTGCTATAACAGCCAAAACAGCTAAAAATGTTTCACCAATTTCGAGTACGACAAGAAGACCAAAACGCTTTCTTTGGTATGAACCAAACGCCAATAAGCCCACTACATGCGGAATGACAGTAATGACGTTTGGGGCCACATGTTCACCAAGCTGCGCACAGTACGTAAAGAATAAGAAGCAAAAGAGAGAATTCTTTGAAGAGAAATTTCCTTGTGGAGGAATTTTCCGAAGAGGAAGCTATTAAATTAGCTCAAGACGTGCGTCATGTTCATGCACTTGGAGGCTTTCATTTAAAAATTTTTTTGTCCAACTCGAGTCGGGTATTAGTCGTCCTAAATGGGGATCCGCTTGATGAGCTATCTCTTGATCTTGAACGTGAGACCGCCTACTGGGAAGGTTTTAGGCATGTGGTGGATAACGTCCACTGACCATTTCACATTTCGTGTGTCCGCTAAGTATAGAAATTCAACAGCGGCCTACTAAGCGCGTGGTTTTGAGTTTGGTTATGACTATTTACGAACCTCTTGGACTCATCTGTTTTTACGTGATATACGCTAAGGTTATTCTGCAAAAGATATAGAGAGCTGGATACGACTGGGATGTTCTAATCTCAGATGACCAATTTACTTAGATAGTTTAAACTAATTCCGAAAATAGAGAGCCTAAGAATTCCAAGATGCTATATGCGAACTATGTTTGCCGGAGTTCCACAAATAGCATTACATACATTTGTTGATGCAAGTGAAAGCAGTTACGCAGCAGTGTGTTAACTGTACAACAACATATTCGCGAACGGTTTTAGCGTGGCTACGATCCGATCACCGCCGCTACAAACAGTTCGTGGCCTTCCGAGTTAGTGAAATTCTAGAGATGACCGACGTTAAGGAACGGCACTGGGTTCCAACTGAGGAAAACGTTGCCGATGAAGCTACGAAGTGGAATGGTGATCCAGACTTTTCTAACGACAGTCGATGGTTAAGAGGACCTTCATATATTATATATTGTGTTCGGAACTGGCTAAGCGTTATTCGAGATAATCAACTTGCTGGTAATGGCCCAACTACTGAAGATTTTCGTAAAGTGGAACGTTATCTGTGGCAAAAGGCCCAACACGAAAACTTCGGAGACTCAATAGCATGTTTAGAATCCGGAAATCCAGCTGACAAATCCAGCAATATTTTCAAGCTATCACCTTATCTAGATGACTACGGCGTTTTGGGAATTAATGGTCGCGTTAAGATAACAGGGCGAGCAGATCAAGTTATTGCCCTTAAATCACCGTGTTACGTACCTAATCATGAACCACTTCCATGCAAAATATCATCATGGCAATTTGGAAACAGTGGTCAACGAAATAAGGCAATACTATTAGAATATAAAACTAAGCACAGTGACTAAAAAGATTCGCCGCATTTGTCAGCATTGTAAAAACAGAACATCCAAACCGCGACCACCTTTGACTGTTAGAAGGTAATCATATAACAAGAACTTTTACTTCTGCTGCTACCAACTGGCGTTTTATACCGCTTCACCGCATATAGGTGGAGAGTCGGAGCGGTTAGTTCGGTCAGTAAAGCAAGTGCTTAGACAAATCTTGACAACTAGCCGTTCCGACGAACTCCTTCGTGCAGTTTTAATGGAAGCGGAAATGACGGTTAACTCTCGGCCCTTAACTTATATCCCCATCCCCAAGAGGAAGAGGCACTCACTCCTAACCACTTCTTGTTAGGTAGCTCTGAACATTTTATTGCGTTGTAACTGGCAAACATCGTAATAACTAGCAAATGCATTCTGGAGACGCTGGATATTGGAGTACCTGCCCACCATAACCAAGCGAAGCAAATGGTTTACAGATGTGAAGGCCATCGAAGTCAGTGATATTGCGTACATAGTTGATCCTAGTAACCCACGAAACTGCTGGCCTAAAGGCAAAGTGATCCAAGTACGAAAAAGTAATGATGAAAAAGTCCGTATCACTACTCTGAAGACATCGTCTGGCATCTTTGAGAGACCTGCCGCCAAAATAGCCGTTCTAGATGTGATTAATTCGGTACACCCTGATTAGAAGGATATACCGGGGAGAGTGTTACGAACGATATGGCAGCATGATTGGCGTAATCCTCGGAAGTCCTACCTGCTTGCGTATGAACTGACGTGGCGCGTTCTGATTGGTCCAATAAGCGAAACGGGAGCAATTAGTAAAAAAAAGGGAGCCGATCATACATTCGGATGACAACTTTCAGAGGGTAGAGTTCAGAGTAAATATTTTAATTAATAGTATCGCTTTAATCGCCTTTAAATATAATTCAATTAATTGCAAAAAATTCTCGCCTATGCTCGCGATGACAGCCGAGACCGGTGCCGCGTAGTGCAGGTTCACCTGAGGAACTTTGCCTCACCATCACCATTTTCATCATTGCCATCCACTAAGTCCGTAAGTCCCTCCAGAAGATTCTGCGTGGATTTTAGCACCCCCCTTGTGCATCTGACTTCTCGACCTTTACGTAGTCTTAGCAGTCGCAGCCTACATTGACATGCTTGCGCCGGAGTGCTTCCTCATCTCCTTCTCCGCTCTCGGTGGTCGTCTTAGGCTTATATGACCTCATGACCACCGAGCTGCACCTGTAGTTCAGGCGAAAACTCTCCTTCCAGACGAATTTACAGAGTTATGTCTCCTTAGGTGGTCAAAGGCGCTGCCTTTTCGCAATCCTTGCGGTCTGCGTTGCGTTTACCGTGCGTTGACTCCAATTTCCGCTGCTCCGTTTTGTATCGGACGCGGTATTACCGCATTCCACCTCTCAGGGGCAAGGGAGGCACTGTTGCGTGCGAGCTTTTCGGCTATCTCAGGAGTTCTTCCCTCCTGGAGGTGCCTCAGGTAACTCTCATGCCCTTTCTTCTTCCCTCCGGTAGAGGCCCGTTGCAGCTCACCCAAATCCGAGCAGCTAATCCTGCTCGAGGGAGTCTCACCTGCTGGGCACCGCGCTATGAGGGCATGTCATCGACTGTGGCATGCTCCTCAACAGCGCTCGCTTCTCTGGCGAAAGAGCGTCCAGGAAGATAAACTTGCGTTTAGCCCCTGAACTTCCCTTAACTGCACCGGTGCTAGCGTCGACCGTTGTCGATTGCCCAAGCGATCCAATGGACACGGGAGTCGCATAACACCTTGGATTAGGAGGTAGCAGCTTTTAGTTACCGCACGCATGCGGCTTCTGACACCCCTTTTGAGAAGTGCTGGACAGCACTCCCCGCCGCAGTTGGGTGATGCCGAGAATACCTTGCGACTTAGGCCCCTGCACCACGACAAGGTGTCTGCCTACTTCTTCAGCTGTCCCCTTTTCACCGGTCCCTTAGCATTACGAGATATGTTAATAAGTTTCCAAACATTCTCATTGTAAAGCAGTTCTAAAGCGAATCGTTCTCTTCTATTGAGATTTGTAAAATATCAAATCCTTAGTCATTGAAAATGCTATACATTAAGATCTGCTAACCAACTCCAAGGGTGTAATTTTACTTTCACTTACTTGAGTTTAGTTAGGTTATTTATTAATCTAATTCCTAAACTCTTATTCTACTTACAGTAGCTTCTGGGCGTGATTTTTTTTAAACAGAATAAATAATATGAAGAAATTAGTTGGGTCCGCTTTAGTATACCATCCCACGATTTTAAGGATTTGGTTGGATAGATGAGATTTTCTGTATCAAGAATATATAATTATAGCCGCCGGAAACTTATAGTTTTCGAAATATTTGCATTTTAAGTTGAAATTTTGACAAATTTCACTTGCAGTTTCTCGATTTTTAGTTAACTTTTCTGTTATATTATACACTAACACTTCACTACATTGTTTCTACATATTTATTTTATATAAATTATTTTTATATGTGCTTTAAATAAGAATTGTGTTTTTTACACAATTTTCGTTATATGCACCATAAATGGGTTCCATGTTGACATATAATAAGTGTTGCCATATCCAAACGAATGAAAGCAATCAGAATAAATAAAAAATAATAAAAATACCTTCTACAAAATATTATGAACTAAATTTTCCATTTTAATAAAAGAAAACGGTTTAAGGGCCTATGAGTAAGTGCACTCTGTTAGTTGCGTATGGTTTTGCAGTGGCCTTAAGGCCGCGCTTCAAAAAAATAACCTTGGACGATACAACACTGGGGTGATCCTTATTCCTTTCGCGTCCTACTGCTTTCGCCATTGGCGGCCTTTGACCCCGCTTCAAAAAAATAACCCTGGCCAATCCAATACCGCAATTCATCAAGAGAAGTTAACGAAAAGAATTATGGTTCATGTATCTGGGGTATAATCCTCTATTATTATTTGTAAAAATTAAATTCTTATTTAAAGCACATATGAAAATAATTTATATAAAATAAATATGTAGAAACATTGTAGTGAAGTTTTATATAAAAGAAAAGTTAACTATAAATAGAGAAATTGCAAGATAAAATTTGTCAACTTAAAAAATGCAAATATCTCGAAAACTATAAGTTTCCGGCGGCTATAATTCGTGATCTGGAGAATCTCCTCTTTCCAACTATACCCCTTTTAACCTTGAAATCGTGGGATGGTATACTAAAGTTTCCCCAATTAGTTTTCGTAATTATATTAGTGCATGTTTCGTATGAAAATGTTTAAATTTCACCTTCAGAATTTTAATTTTTCTACCGTTTGGCACACAACTTTAAATAAATTATCTTTTTCAGTAGTTAGATGCTCTATTTGTCGTCAAAGCATCGTTTTATCTGCAGCTTAGCTCTATCTGAATACTGTCATAGTATTTAAAAACTGTTTATGGGCAGTACTTTTAATATGTCATCATAAAATCCGGAAGTTGTGTTCGACTCCATTTTGAAAATGGCCGTCCCTTCTTTCTTTCGAAACGTGGGAAACGTCAACATTGGTTGGTTTTCTCTTGTTGCAAAATTTATTCTATTTAATTTTGCGATAATAGTGCAAAGTAAGTGTTGTAAATACAACTTATTTTTAAGTAATAGTTCTTATATTATGATTTTTTTTTTATATTTGTGACAGATGCCACGCGAAATAAAAGAGGTGAAAGATTTCCTAAACAAGGCACGCCGTGCTGATGCCCGTGCTGTGAAAATCAAGAAGAATCCGTCTAACACCAAGTTTAAGATTCGTTGCTCGCGGTTCTTATACACATTGGTGGTTCAGGACAAAGAGAAAGCCGAGAAAATCAAGCAGTCCTTGCCGCCAGGCTTGCAAGTTAAGGAAGTCAAATGAATGTGTTACATTTAAAAGCGTGTGATAACTAAAGAGTATGGAAAACATTTCCATGTGTTCTGTGAGCACTTATGAAAAAATCATAGTTGTTTTTCAAGTAGTGAAATACAAATTGCAAATATGTTTCAAGAAAATATAATTTTTATTGGGTTGGATTAATTCAACTGGGATAACAGAATTTATTTGGTAAATGTTAAGAGTGATTGAATATGATCTTACTTTTTAAATTAAAGGCCGACCGTACTTTAAAGAACGAAGAAGGTATATCCAATATAAACCCCACAAACAATATATGAAATAGTAAGTAAAAAATATCACATTATAGTTCCTCTTTGGAAAAATAAACATTCAAATGAAATGTTTTTTACGAAAGTATACGTATTTAAAAACTGTTTAACATAAACAAGATTAAATTGATTTGATAATATTTGGTGGTTGTAGTACATACAAATAATGTCAACAATTATATGTGGCGATTTAGTTCAATAACTAATAACTTGTGAGGTCTCCTTTAACTTTTATAACTGCTTTAATACGGTCAGGCATAGGGTTAATTATATTATATAAAATATCCGAAAAAAAGCTGTTCCAAACTCTTTCAACTTAAAACTTCATCTATAACTTTTGGTGTTTCTTTTTGAGCAATTAATCGTCCATAAGTTTACGATGCGGTTCATATCGGAGGACTGAACTGGCCACTTCATCGCCCGAATTCCGTTATTTTCCAACCAAGATTTTGTAACGCGGACGGTATGTTTAGGATCATTGTCTTGCAAATCCCAGGGTGCGTATCCAAAAATCTTGAAGCTAGGAATTGGGGAATCGTCTAGAATGCTAATATAGGCGGTAACCTTAATTATTCCGTTGATTCGACGTAGTTTTCCCTATTTAAATGTGCACAGCACACAAGCATCGCTTGTGATATAATGTCTAAATACGTTCATCTGAATTAATACTATTAATTTTCGTTTCGTCAGACTATTGACTAGTAATTGTATATTAAGTTTGCCACGAAGTTTGTAACACCCAGAAGGAAACGTCGGAGACTTATTAAATATATACATAAATGATTAGCATGATGAGCTTAGTTGATTTAGCCTAGTCCGTCTGTCTATATATACGAACTAGTCCCTCAGTTTTTAAGCTATCTTCTGAAATTTTGCACCTGTCTTTCCCTCACTAAGATGCTGTCAATTTGCGGAACGGCAGATATCGGACCATTAAAACATATAGCTGCCGTACAAACTGAACAATCGGAATCAAGTGCTTATATGGGAAACTTGTTTATTTGACGTAATATCATCACGAAATTTGGCATGAATTATTTGCTAAGGCAACAATGTAATCTTCGAAATAATTGTTTAGATCAGATCATCGTGTACATAGCGCTGCCATACAAACTAAACAATCGGAATCAAGTGCTTGTACGGAAAACTTTCATTTGACGAGGTATCTTCACGAAATTTGCCGTATTTCGTTTTTAATTTTAAATATTGCAAGTCAACAACATTACGTAAAAAAAAATATAATAAAAAAGATCATTTAGAAGTACTTCACAATATATAATAAAAGTTATATTTACAACATCGATAAATTTAATAGTTACATCCTGAAGTAGAATCATCTTCTTCTCCTATTTCCAGCATAGCTTGCATAATTTTTCGTTTCAGTTTTTTTTTTGAACTAACTGAATTGAGATTACGAAACTCTGTTGCAATCAATTCACCGAAAGCGTCCCATTCATCTCTTGACCTGATAAACATACTTTTATCTTTGATTTGTTTAGATCCTATACCTAAAATATTTTTGTGATACTGCATTCCAGCATTGAAATTGTGGCAGCAAAAATTTGTTTGACCAGTCTGTGGTTCTTCTATGGGATCCTCTTGGCTTTGAGGTTTCAATTGTAAATCAGACTTTTTGTCCAGAATTTTAGAAGTTTTATTTATGTCTGCATGATTTACATTTTGCAGACGTTGATTTAATTTTGGAGAATTGAAAAAATGGTTTGATTCACTTTCAGCACCCAAAGTTGAAATTATGTTTTCACTGCCATGTTCATTAAAATTCATTGATCGATCTGTGGATGTATGCTCCGAAATTACCGCCGAATTGTCAACAATGGTCGCATCATCAAATTGATACTCTGTGATTTGTTCAATTACTACATCATTTTTACGTGCTTTTGAAGCTTTGTAATTAGGTTCCTTTGTCTCCTCTTCACTGCTGTTGTCATATTTCAAATTAGAGCTTATTTTAATTTTTTTAGCCTGGTAACCTCCTGGACGTGGTTCAATTACATCTTGAAGAAATCTAAGTGATTGAAAATGTTTCCACCGGCATCCTTCTGCAGTTGACTCCGTGTCGTCCCCAGTTTCCTCAACTCTCCTTTCAAGTTTTTTCATCTCAGAATTGAATTGATTTCGCAAGTTGTGAATTTTTTTTCCAAACTCTAATTTGGTTATGTGTAAGCTATTACAAATATCGTCGATGGCTTTTGTTCGTTTTTCCTTATTTTTATATGCCTCAGTATAGTGGTTCCACAAGCAGTCATGCTGACGGTAAAGTTCAATCAATTGTGCAATTTTTTCACGGGTCCATACTGTACTTTTCCGGCGGGAACTCAAAACTATAGAATCATCAGAGTTTTTCATCTTTTTTTTTAATAACCTTATGTTATTTTTTAAGTTAACGAAATGTTTTAAAAATATTTGTTTATATTGTTTTAGAGGTTGGTGTAAAGTACTATCGATATAAATTTTTGTCACATCTATCAACGTCATTGATTATTCACGGTCATTCCTTTCGATTTTATTTAGGGGATTAATGGCCGATTCACACACATCTTTCCCCGCTTTACTTTACAATTCACAATATGCTACAATAAAAGAATCAACTGCATCATCGCAATCACAGTCCTCTTTAACACATTAGCTGTCAAGCGGTTTAGACGAAATCCTTCACCGGATGCCAAGAATGTTTTTCCTTAAAACCATTTATTCTCACGAAAACGTTGAAAGACGAACAACGAATAGATACAAGTAATTATATAAAAATTACTCACATATTTGTCCGTAAATTATTCAATTACTTCCATTAATTTTTTTTTTCACCGAAAACTAGTAAATTAAGTTTATTTTACGAATAAATAGAAGTCTTTACGTTTTTGTTTACAATTTATATGCTATTTGAGCTTTTCCATGCTTCCTTTTTCCTTTCAATTAGAATGACGTCACATGAATTTTTATAGTAAAATTAGATTTTGTATCATTTGTCACAGTCTACGCCAAAAAAAATAACTGTTAATACTTGGCATTCTATATTCATACTTTAACAACGTAGCGAAGAAAGCAAGGTATATGTCGCAATGATTGCTGGCTTTCTATGCTTATCTCTAATAAAACTGGCGACTGTTGCTTGGTAAAGCATAAGTAAATTAAAGTTTAAACGAACTTTTCTGCAAAACAACTGTCTGACGAAAAGCGAAGCAAAAGTTATATCAGAGAATGTTGATGAATAGAGAAGGAGCAAATGTTAAATGAAATCTTTTTGAGTACTAATTTGTAGTTCCAGATGAGGGAACATCGAAAAATATAACTTCGAAAAAGAAAAATACACCACACAATATGCGAAATGCTATAAATAGACACAACGAATATTCCTATATGAAAAATCGTTGCGCATACCTATTTAGATTTATGTTTTCAATTTCTATGATATGACAAATTTATAATTATGAAAAGCCTTCTGAATTAAAAATCTGTATTAGCGGTAAAAACCCCAGATTTCATAATAAAATAAACATTTAATAGGCTATTTTTCCAACTTATGTATGTGCGTTATGTGAGCAATTGCTTATTAAACAAAGGATAACAATAAAACGGTGGCTAAGCGGCCACATTTCCACTTTTGTGGTGGCTGAGGTCGTAAGTGGGAAGGGGTTAAGCACAATCCGAATACGAACCTATACGTTCGAATCCTAAAACTCGTGAAACTGAAATTTTATTTAATTTTTATTTTATTAATTGGAATCTAAGCATATCATAATTCAATTACTTTAATAGCATATTTAACTTCCTGAGATAATTAAAATATTTCAGGAAAATATGTTCATATGTTTGGGTTTATTGCATATTCCTTTATTTATGCGTATTTACACAAATGTGATAATCACACATACATTCATGAGTACACGTACGCTGATGCTTGCTTCTTCTTGCCCCGCACAAGCAATGACTTTTGTCCACACTTTTTGCTTTTTGCGCACTGCCACATAATTATTTTAGATATATATTTTATTTATCGAATTTAGTTTAAAAACGATTATAGGTATGAATATATGTGTATTTATATATATATATATAATATATATTATATTACGAAAATAATTCATAAATGCATCAGTATTTTTCAATACAAAATAAGCAACATAATAATATACTTAGAGTCTTCAGTTAGAACGCCTCTGTGTATAGTGGCAAGCCAACGAAATAACGGCGAGTTCGCGCAGACATTGTGTTGTTGAAAGTAACCAAATGACGATTTTGTCGACAAGCATACATATATACATATGAGCTCGCATACATATTGACGCCGAATTTTGCGCATCGTGGTGGAGTTGACAAAATTTGTTTCAATCAACAATTTTACGACAATGTCGATCGGCTATGTTGTCTCGTTTGTCCTTTTTGCAGGGCTTTGCTGTTGAAAATTGACTTAGGCTCTTTTGAAATATTGCGATTACCGATTGGGCTGCATTTTCATAGCGTCGTATTTGGATAAAATGGGCTAAATCGACAAACTATGAAATAATGATAATAAGTAAACATATAAAAGTACTATATGGACTGTGCTTAGAATATATAGAAGTAGTTAATGATTTCATATGAATGGCAATTTTATATAAATTTTGTAATTTAATGCCATAAATAGTGCATAATATAAAAAAAAATTAAAATAATAATTCAAATTCCTAAGAGGTCATGTTGCCAATTCTCCTTTCTGAAGTGAACATCAGACAAACTCTTCAATTTCTGATTTTTAGCAAATGTTGTGAGGAAGCAGCTTGTGGGCAACATACAAACGCGAGGGGGATGGTAGGATTTTCAGTGATACAAATTGTAAAATTGAAATTTTGCTGATTCTTCAATTTTACTGAAGACATTCAAATTCAATTTCATTCATTTTTATTTTCCGCATTTGCGGTAGGAATTCTATATGAAAACCAAATGTGGCTTACCAGGCGCACAGAAAAAATAGCGCGGCGCAGAGTTATGAACGAACGTACTTTGCTTTGAAGCAGACGCACGTTCCTTATGAATGAATTTGTTGTCGTTGTAATATGAAATACTTAGAAAATAAGCCGCGAGTTCGCTTGAATATTATTGGCCGATGATGGTGCGTCTACGTTTTTTTTGTCACTTGCGCGAGTGTTTGATTTTTTGCGAAAGACATATTGAGGGACATACATATGTACATTTGTGTACATATATGCAAATATATTTGGACATGCGAATGAAGGAAGGCAATTTCAAGAATATTCACATATAGACATATGAACATTGAAGCAAGTAAACAACAATAGCTGTTTCAGTTTACAGATTAGACAAAATTACTCGAATATCGTCTGTGGTGCTGCTTGTATAGCACACTTCTTTATGGCAATGTAAAATATTTTGCCTAAGTTCATATCCTATCACATATTTTTATATACTCTTTTTTATTTTTATAACTCTTTTTTATTAAATGATATTTTAGTTCTATTTTCATATTATTTCCCTCATTACTTATATTTTCTTTTCATAAGTCAATTATTTTCCTTTTTATTATTTTAAGTTTTGTTTATGCGCATATCAAAGAACATCTGTGCATATGTATGTGTATACATTTTGCTTATAGAGTGGTGTAGTTCGTTTCGTACCCTGATAGTTGTGGTGAAATTTTATTTTCCAATTTGCGCGTTTTCGATGTTCCTCCATCGTAATTAACATTTTAGTACTGCTAACATTTGCTCCTTCTCTATTCATTTACGTTCTCTGTTTATATGCGAATCAGCCATAATTCTTTGCTGTTCTATATACTAAAGTATGTTCCTATTGTGACATAAAATACTTAATTTATATAAATTAATTTATGTGTTCGTGCCTGCATTTCTTAATTTAGTGTGACCGCTTTTTAACTACTTACGAACAATTTTGTTTACTTTTTATCTTTGGAATATTTTAAGTTTTAGTTGAGTGCTTAATAAAGCAAACTTTTTATTAATTTTTTTTTTTCATAAATAATTTCATCAAGAAAACTACCTTGCAAGTCACCGGTTAAATCACTGTTTAATTACCCAATAACACGATTTAAGCCATACAAAAATTATTGTGTAATCTAATTTCCCAACTATCCTATTTCCCAACATATACAAATGAGAGTCAAATTATAGCGGACTGAGTTTACATGTGTTTTCAACCAGTTTTAGTAAGGGTGGAATTTACTCATGTGTGGCCTCACGTGAACACAGTTTCTCTTTAGAAAATAAGTGACAAAAATAAAGGCAAAATAAAAATAACTAAATTCATTTTAAATATAAATGAGAATGAAATTCGATTACATAACCCGCTTGGTTCTCTCTAAGGGTTTCATACCGATCTAACACACAAGTGTGCCGTGTATAGCTACTTTAAGCAAGTCCCCCGAGCTCATTCAATTCGGCTTACAAAAAGTGTAAACACTGCGAAATATAACATTTTCAAGCGTGAACTAGTATCAAAGATATATTATCTTTGCTAGTATAAAAAATTGCCCATTTTGTGCTAATAGAATTTGGGTCTTAAAAATAATATCAACTGATTCGCTTTTATATTGTGGTAAAAATATGCCAGAAGAAACAGAACTAAGTTGGGAAGGTTTAAAACGCCGCAATTTACCCTGGATAGAGAAATACCGGCCTACGAAATTCGAAGAGATTGTGGGAAATGAAGACACAATTGCACGTCTTTCTGTGTTTGCAAGCCAAGGAAATGCTCCAAATATAATTATAGCGGTATGCTTTTTAATTATTAATTAAAAAACTACTTACTTATAATTATTTTGAAGGGTCCACCTGGTGTAGGAAAGACGACCACCATTCAATGTCTAGCTCGTATATTGCTTGGGGACAACTACAAAGAAGCTGTCCTTGAATTAAATGCATCAAACGAACGTGGAATCGACGTAGTTCGTAACAAAATAAAAATGTTCGCACAAAAAAAAGTTACTTTACCAAAAGGTAGGCATAAAATAGTTATATTGGACGAAGCGGACAGTATGACAGAAGGAGCTCAGCAAGCCCTCCGCCGAACCATGGAGATTTATAGTAATACAACAAGATTTGCGCTAGCATGCAACACTAGTGAAAAAATAATTGAACCAATCCAATCCCGTTGTGCCATGCTTCGTTTCACAAAGCTTTCAGATGGTCAAGTACTTGCCAAGTTGATTGAATTATGTCAACGTGAACAGGTCTCATATGAGGAAGAAGGATTAGAAGCAATCGTTTTTACTGCTCAAGGAGATATGAGGCAAGCGTTAAATAATTTGCAATCGACTGCTCAAGGATTCGGTACGATTACGGGTGCTAACGTATTTAAGGTTTGTGACGAACCTCATCCTATGCTTATACAAGACATGTTGCAGCATTGTACTCAAAATGATATACACAAAGCCTACAAAATTCTAACCAAGTTGTGGCGTCTTGGCTATGCCTCAGAAGATATAATAGGAAATATATTTAGGGTATGCAAGCGTCTTAACGTGGATGAAAATATTAAACTTAATTTTATCAAAGAAATTGGCGTGACTCATATGAAAGTTGTTGACGGTTTAAACTCTTTCCTCCAGCTCACGAGCCTTTTGGCTAAATTGTGCGACACTGCTGAAAATTAATACAATAAATAACAAAAACTGGTTGTAATTACATTATCTAATAGTACATTTTAAAATATACACTTGATTGCTCTAGATATTCAAGCATAAATATAAGTCTATTTTTGAATACTTTATCTCAAAAACTAAAATGATGTTTGTTGTTGTACCGGTTATCCAGACTCTGTTTAGGGGAAGGGACCAAGTCAACTGTCATCGAAGTCACTTAACATATTTGATCTGTTGTTGAAACTTTAAACGCGTCAACGTAAATAATTCAAGCAGAATAACAAGCCATGAAAACATAATTTTATGGGACCTAACTTTTGGCTGCGTAATCTTATCCCATATGGAATTGTTAACCCAGTGGTCTATTTTATTGATACCTACGTCCGACTAGTTAAAAACAAATAAACGACGTGATATTTGTGTTTCTGTAAGTTGTGGTAAGATGTTTATTTCTAATTTGACGTCGCTGATTTCAAGGGCAAAAAAATACTAAGTTTCATAAATAAACCGCTATGTCTACATTCAGAAGAACTTGTTTAAATGATCCGAATAGTTTTTGTACTGTTTGTGGTATGGGAATATCCCACAGTAGCATTGGTTATGGAAAAATAAAACACATAGAACATTATTAGCTGATATGCGTCGATCTTAAAATGGTAGAGCCAAGATAGAACACTGGCCAAAAAAAGTTTGGCCTTTGAGAGTGAATTTAGTACCGGGTAGTATGAATGTGATGAACGCTCCTCTAGTATAAAGTTAGGTTAGGTGATGAAACAGTTCTATGAACAAGGGGGAATGTTTTAAATATATCAGTCAAGTATTTCCAAAATTGAACACAGAAAAAATTAAAGTTGGTATTTTTGACGGTCCTCAAATCAGGGAACTAATAAGGAACCAACATTTTAATGATTGTATGACAAATAAGGAGAAATCTGCACGGATTGAATTTATTAGGGTTGTGCAAAATTTCTTAGGAAATAATAAATCTCCAGACTACATTCAACACATTGAGCAGCTCATATTGTACTTCTAAAGGCTAGGATGTAACATGAGCATCAAGATGCACTTCCTCTTCAGCCATTTTTACCGCTTCCTTCTACTATCGACACAACCTTATATAATTGAATTATGCTCCCATTTAAATTTTAAAATTTATTTTATAAAAAATCATATCTGGTAAAAAAAAAATTTTTTTCACAATACATAAAAAATATAATTCTTTTTAATAAAAAGTATTCTATGCCGCGGACCAAACGGGCGGCTTTAGTATATAAATTGATATGAACGGCTATAGTTTTGATGAAAATGTACCCATATCGTTTACTAAATAGTGCATTTAAAATGATAAGAGTAAAAATAAGGAGAAAGCCCTCATGATAGAATGTGTTAAAAAATATAGGTGAGCCTATTACTGTTTCCAACTCAATTTCTTGCTCTGTAGCAGTTGTAGTTCAACATTAATTAGCAGTTAATTTTTAATCAATTATTTTATACAAATACAAAGAAAAGACAAGGTTTTTGGTAAAGTTAAATTTTTAAAGCGTTGTACTTCTCTGGTGTAATCCGCTGCACATAAATACGGTGTTCCACAATTAAAACAACTTAGTCGTCGTAAGTTTTGCCAGCTCAACGTTCAAATCATTTCCACCTCATTGTTGATACCTATCGCCAACAAGAAAACGGAGAGGAGGTATGGCCCTTATGCACACGTTAGTGGAAATGCGGAAAATTTTTCAAAAAAAAAAAAAAACAAATGAGAATATGCAACAAACATAATTAATGCCATTTAACTGTCTATAAAACTTAGGCTATCTTAGTGTTAGAAAGTCCTGAAGGAACCTTGTAATATAAATCAAAACTAATGCCCACGTCAATATTTATTCACCATTCACCCCTTTGACTGATTGAATTGTTTAAATTTTTCGTTTAAAATTTCAGCTGCTTATTTATCTGTTAAATCTTCACTGAAAATAATTGTATTTCGTAATACAAAAAAAAAATGGTTAATCTGAATCTTGAATTGCTTTAACTTCAATTCAACTGACGGGAGATGCAAACTGTAAGCATTTCTAAAAATATGCACGAAAACCGTATCGATCATAGTACTGTATAACAAAAACATTTATTGAGCATCCTGTATTTGGAGATCTATACTGTTATTCGGGTATTTTGACTTTGCTTCGGGAGAAGATTCATTTACGTCGCCCTCACATGCATCTTCATTGCCTCTACATGTGATATCAAGTTCCATTTTCCTCAATTATAACTTCCTTTGCTATGGTATTTAGACATTTCCCAACCATCTCGGAAATAATTAAATCGACCACTTCATTTTCTTCCCGATGAAAGTTACACCATTTATCATCTTCTTCATACATTTCTTGGATTATAATTTTTCCAATGTGATCCCGATTTGCTCTTTGACCATACACTGAATATATTGGTGTGCGTCGTTTCAATGTTTTGTCCATATTCAGACATCGGCGGACTTCTTTGTATATGGACTCTTGGATACAGTGTAACCGATTTGGAGGATTAAAAAATGCCAGTTGGGTATGAAAATTATCAGGATCTCCTTGTGTTAAAACCTCACTATGCTCGTCAAGATATTCACGACAAATATCTAGTATAATGCGCTCGTAAATATTTGTTATTTTTTCATCCATCACAGTGGGCAATTTTTTACCAGCTTCCGTAATATAATCTAAAGAAAGATAATAACATTTTCGCATAAATGTTACGATACTAAGACGACGCTTAAACAAATACTCACCAGTCTTAAGGAGTTCACAGTACAATTCATGTGTTCGTCGGTAACTTATTTCTTTAATTCTTTCCTCCGATGGAAATATAGTTGTCATTGGACTTCCGTGAGCAGGAGGTACATAAGGCGGTGGTGGCTTATTGGGAATTTCCCGGACATACATGTACGGTAAAACAGTTGAAGCATTATCAAATTGCTTTACTTTCTGCGGAATTTATTAGATTTTAATTAGTTGTAGAAGTATGCATTAATAAAATATCAAATTATATACCTCGGGTTCTATTAGTAGTTGTTGACAACGGCGTATTTCAAGTTCATTTATAATGTCAGGCATAAGTTGTATTGAGCTTGATGCTGGAGACCCGTTGGCGTCCTGTGCTGGTAATCGTACATTATCTGCGGACGTTTGGGGCGGTGGGATCACTGTTATAATTTCTGAATCAGACTGATTGAATTGCGAATTTCTGGGTTTTTCCGAAAGGCTAGATAAAATCCGTATGTCTTTTTCCATATTATCTTTTTCACCATAATTTAGATCCACGTTTTCACTGCCCGTCAACTGCACATCAACAATACTTTCAACGTGGGGCATTGATAAATCATCTATTTGTGTTAATTCGCCACTGCTTTCAAAATCATCATCATATGGCTTGGAAATACAATTTGCATTCGTAGCTTCATCAGATTCAAATATTTTTGGCTGACTTATGAATATTTTCGAATTAAACGAATCTTCTTCGCTTAAAGGTTGACTTTTAATTGAGTCTAAATTTACAAATATGCTGCAGCTATTATTGTTATCATTTTGAGTTGAATCTAAATTTGTACATATACTATTGCTATTATTGTTATCATTTGAAACTTGATACTCCGTCGTTGTTGTTTCAGGGCTAACACATACCAAATCTTGCTGAAAGCAGCTAAGGACTTCATTCTTCGAAGAAACCTTTAAATCGTCATTAGCTGCTTTGTTGTCACTAATATTGAAGATATTTTTCTGAGCTCCCATTTTTTCTTCCATATAAACTTTTTTATAATTCAGTGCTGTTGGTGAAAATATATGCTTCATAGCAGAGATACTATTTCCATGTGTTTGATTGCTGGCATTTGCTGATATAGGTAATGATATATTGCTTTCTAAAACTTGTTTTGAAGTGCTTTCAGTTAGAGCCGATGAACATTTTTGATTTAACGCTGTACATTGTTCTTTACATATATTTACTGCTTCTTGTTTGCCGTCTTGCGGTAAACGATCTTTAGAGTACAATACACTGTCTGACAGGCTTCGAACCAAGCCAATACTAGAAATTGTGGTTTTCATGCTTGACGTTATTTTTGGTAATAATATATTCACTTCAGACGACGATTGCGTAACAATAGAGCTAAGGGTTTCAGAGCCCGAATTGCGCGCATAGATGTGTTGAAATTTTTCTGCAGCAGTGCTGGGACTGTAATTATCGCGTTGTAAAGAATTGACGGATGTATCTTCCCACGATTCTCCTTCTTTATCAGAAGATTCGGAGCTGGTACACAATTTCAGTGACGGCACCAAAACTGACTCCAGTTGGTTTTGCTGTTGTGACAATTGCTGTGATGGTAATATATTTGGTTCGCAAGAAAAAATGCTCTTTTCTAGAAGATCAGCTGCAAAGTGACCCTCATTATTTGAAAAGTCTTTAAGAACTGCGACCTTTGCCGCCTCGTATAAATTTTCCAAATCTGCTTTTGAAAGTTCATAGTGTTTGTCAGGCTCATATTTTTCAAATTGCTGTGCGGTTAGTCGACGCCACAATTTGTTTAACTTCGTACCAGTTGTACGGACGCAATCAATCGCATCGACTACAATTTCTTCTCCACTTCTTTCATTACTTCCTGCCGTAGTATGCGTTCTTGAAATGCTATTTAATTCCTTTAAACTGTTTTTGATTTCCTTTAAACGTCGCTGAACTCTTACGTGTGTATTATATTTATTAACAGGAACTGTGACAGCTTGATCTTGAGGCAGTTCTTTTGTTTTTGTAGCGGGAAGATGTTTCGATTCACTTTTGCGAGTGTTATAGCTAAGTAGTTTTTTCTCCATTTGTAGAACCTCAGCTTCTTCTTGATCGAGTCGGCGATGCCACTGCATCAATCGCTCAACATGCTCTCGACGACGTTGTAAATCTAATTCGCGTTTCTGCAAAAGTTCCTCAAGAGAACGGGAGGTTTCAAGGGTGTAATTAGCCCGAACTACAGGTTCCGGACGATCCACTTTTACTTTAATATTCTGCTGCGATAAACCTGGTGCTTTGTTGTAAATGCTGCTCACTGAAGTAGACTGTGAAGTGGGCGACTTTTTCTCTCGATCGGATTTCGTAATTCTTTGGTAAATCTTTGTGTTGGTTTTTTGTGGAACCACACTCTTATCGGGCTTTCTTGACGAGGGAACGAACGCTTTTGTTTCAAGGTTCGACGTTAACTCTGTTGAACTTGTTGAGGTAGTAGATTGTAGTAGCCTAAAGCAAAATATTATGTGAAATATCTTATAATACAGGTGATAAATTACTATACATATTTCTACGCCCAAGCATCTTTAGGGGTGTACTAATTTTAACTTCCATTATTATACATCAATATTAGCATTTAATTTTGCCACTTTGAATTCGAATATACTTATTGAAAAATCAATCCGAATTGATTGGAATTGCAAATACCTATACATATATTCGGACGAAATAAACAAATATGTGCTGAAGAACAAAAGTACAATATCCAGATTAATTGAGAAAAATAGCGCATCCCTACTATTTGTATAAACATATGTGCTACCCATGACATATTTTGGAATGGAATTTTATCTTCATATTAAAGGGAAGCGCAGCGAAATGAGGGCCTGATAAGAAAATATTTTAGATTGGCTACAATCAAGTACACACGTTCTTACTAGAACGTTTTTATAATGTTAATATACACATACATTTTGACGTTGACATCGCAAAGATTTAAATATTGTGAATGTGAATGTCTTTAATTAAATTAAACATAGCAAAATTTTAACTGCGCTTAAATTTTAAATTGAAGATACAGTTGCGTGCAACTAATTAACAACGACATAAGATCAAGTAATAGTATGTTGATTTTTTTATCTACGTTTTCAATTTTGAAAGTTTACCTTATAGGTATGGGTATATTTAAAACAAAACAAAAAAAAAAAGCATATTTGCGCATCTTGAAAAACAGTTCTGTAAAAACTATTTAATAATGAAAAGTCTAAGTGGGTAGTGCAGCTAATTAACAACGCTTTGTGTATTTTTATGTAAGGTAATTATCAAGACAGTTCAATATTTTTAAATAAAACCATTGTTGTCGATTACCGGTTGACATCTGCATGGCATTGACTCAACAAATTTTTGTTAGAAGTCCTGTGGAATCGCTTCTTACTTTGTAAAGCCGTACCTTTATTCAGTATGACGTCGTTCATACTTTTCCAATTTAAACACGCTCAGTTTATCTTTGTTTCGCCAGGAAAGAGTACTTTGACAGCTGTCGAGAGACATACTTGGATGTGAAAGAAACTAATAAAAACATATCTTTTATTTCCTCAGTATTTTACAAATTGGTGCAAAATATTTACAAGGGCATGCCAATTGCACTATGGAAATGTGATATTGCATTAAAAGATAAATAGCGTAATATACATAAATTCTAACCGTTGTGGGTAGAAGCCGTCGGAAGAGTTTGGTACAAAACTAGTGTAATATGATTTTATTACTATCGAACTAGCTCTAGAGGGAGCTGAAAAACTGAGCCAGGCAGATGCAGTCTTGTATCAAACCTTTTGAAAAGCGAAAAGAAGGGGTTTAGTGGTATAAGAGTTTGTATAATAAATTCGCAGTTATAACTGTGGAGTTTCATATAATTTCTTCTAGTTAGAAATTATTAACAATGCAATTGATGAATAAAGAGAAAACTGCATCAATATTAGGAGAGTATACTTTTACATTTTAAAAGGTGCGCACCTAACACCAAGTAAGTCAAAGTTTTATTGACAATTAAATAATATAATATTGACAATAAACGAGTTTTAAATTTTTTTAACTTTGGCGAAAGCAACCTACAAAACCGGCTTTTAACTATTATGATCACCATATTTGTGCGTGTGTGGATAAAGCATCAATCACTGAAGAGGAGCAAAACGCTTTAAAAACTAAATTTTACTCAAAAAGTACATTGCTAGTTGTAGTCGATTGTATCGACTATTTACATATGTTTGAAACACTTCCCACGGTCTCATAATTTTATTTTAATGTTTCCAAATTGTAGCTTGTCTCATCCAGTTTCGGAATTTTACTACATGAGCTCAACTAATTTTTCACCTTTAATTGGATTTGTACATAATAACTGATTAAAATATTATGAAATTATGAATAAAATAGTTCTTTTTACCAATTTTCTATTGTATTTTTCCTAGATATTTTCATCAATGTTTAACTACAATTGCTTGTTAGCAGTTGAAATTTTTGGATACTCTAGCCAACCCCACTGGCACTGAGTTGAAAACCGTAATACCAAAAAAGTTGAAGTTTGAAAACAAACCGACATTTTTTTGACGGGTTGATTTGAAACCATAATACCAAATTTCAAAACTTCAACCAATAGGGCCTTATTTAAATTTTGTACAATGATGAAAATTGTATTCAGAATACATGTTTATTTTATTTAGTTATCAACGTTCAATATAAAATATCACCATATAATTTTGTCTTTGTTTATTTTATACAAAAGGCGGTTGGGAGATTGGAGCAGTTACTTCAAAACATGCGCGATATTCATGACAACAATCGGCTGTATACTTTTATGATAGTAGCACGCCGTATCAATGATAATTTAAATTTCAATATCGTCACTTGTTCACATACATACATACATACATGCATACATACATACATATTATAGTGAATGAGGAACACATCTGTAGTGTTTACGCCAAAACCAAAACATCTAGGGCAAACGAACTAAACATTCCATTCATTTCCAACTATACGTTGCTTTGACTGTGGAATTTATGAATATTAAATAGATTTATTGAAATAAAAGCACATACACGTACATACATATGTATATATAAATATAGCTAGTCTTAAAACTAGTTGAATTTATATAGAATTAAAGCTATTGCGAGAAGAAATGTTACTAAGTTTTTTCGGAAGGTAACTTAACTTTAACTTTAACTCTCACAGTAAAAATTTTACTACGCGTTTTGAAGAATGTACATACATATATGTATACAACTTTTCGTTTCGGTAGATTTTCGAAGTTATTTTCAAATTCAGGCATACACTAAGAGATCCGCATTATTTGAGCGTGTAAAGGCATTTTAGAAGACCAAAAAAAAGTCAACGAGACAGCCCTTAACAGTGCTACTACACACGTTTTGTTATTTTATTTGTTTGTTCCAGCGGCTGAAAAGCAAGCACAATACTAAACGGCTTCGAGTCCCTCGCGCAACTCACAACAGCACTTTCCATGTTCAGCGTCTTTGCGCGAGCAATACAAACGATTTGGATAATCAGAAACGAAAAGTCGGCCGAACACATCCGAATACAAATATATTAAGAGAATTCGTTCATAAAAACAGATGTAAATATGAATTCCCGGTTACAATTTATGAATGGATCTGGAGGATTTTTTATAGTGGTAGTGAATGCGCATCACCGTGTGAGTATAAAAATAGATACATGCATGCATCATATGCTTATATGTATGTATGTATAAATATCCAAACTTTAAACAAAAATACATTTGAACTATAGGTACAGGAAAAAAATATATATGTACATAAATATATAATATTAGCGAGCAATAATAATAATAATAAGTGTTATGGAGTGTGTGTGTGTTGAATATGCAAATCTTGTATGGAAAGTGCGCAGCTCGCATTTCCGCAATTTAAAAAAGGTTAAACGGGTTCCACAATAAAAATGTCGAACATATTGTTGTATAATAATTTTTTTGTTTGCCATGTTTTTCAGGACGATTTCTTCATAAATAATGTGAGTTGGGCCTTTCGTACTCAACTATACATAAATAAGGATTGTAAACACAAAATAAATATTATCCAACACAAAATGCAAAAAATAAAATAAATATATATAAGAGATGAAGGATTTATACATGCAATAGTATAATCACTTTTTAAATACATAAGTATACTGCGTTCACACACGCACTCTTTTGTCAGGAAATTACCACGATTATTACGAAAATAAACCAAGTCTATCATATTCTTATTAAACATACTTAAATATTTATAAATCTCTACTGCTCAAAGATATAACCCCATTTTCATTACCATCCTTTTTAATAGATAACTTTTTTCAAATGAATTAAAACCAGATATTTGATTCCACAGTATGTCACTCTAAGCTAAAGTTTGCAATCGTGGGTGATGCAACGATCTGATTTTCATATGAAATACAATTCTACCTTTGGAGACAAGGGGCACTTATATCAAGTTTTATGGAATCTCAGTTTTTACTCAAGTTAACGGGAAGGCCGGACTGACTGACTGGTTAATAGGGTCACTCACATATTTTTTAAGAGTTAGTGTTCGACAAATCGCTTATCTCGGGGGAAATTTTAAGAAAAATCGTTTACGAGAATATACTACACAATAGTAAATTGCTCCCGCGACAAAAACGCTAAGAGGCGGTGCTTATTGTAACAGACTCATATTTTGTTTTTGCTGACATGTACAATTTATTAAATGTTCACTTTTACCTCTTGATTTCTTCACGCTCCTTTTCCATTTTCAGCAAAATTCCACGTTGCTTCTTTTTAATGGCTGCAATTTGCAAAAGTAAACCCTTTGATTTGCAACGCTCTTTTTGGACTTCCAACCAAGCAATTTGTCCTTTTGTTCGATCGAATAAAGCCTTTTCCCTAATTTTTAATAAAGCGGCCAAATGTTCTGATTTGTTTGTTTCATTTCTTATTAACTTCTCATACTAAAAAAAAATTTAAATAGAGGCCATCATTACAGTGGTGTACAAATGCTTACCATGCCGACATTTGAGTAGCTACAATTAGAGTCTGATAAACTGCTGCTGTTTGCAGATCCCAAAGAAATTTCCAGATTGGAATGATCGAACATTTCTAAAATTTTATGACTTGCAGTAATATTTTGAGACAATACATTTTGTTGATACGGTCTGTCTTCATGTTTCATGGTAGTAAAAGGGTTCTTTCTTTCTAATAAAAATTTTGACTTTTTGAGGGTCTTGACATTTTGTTTATTTTCGTTTTCAGTCTTGCTCCTAGTATTTGCCTGTATATTAGATGTGTGCTCGCATTCACTTTCTTCAGAAACTCTCGTTGAAATTAGAGTTTCAGTTAAATGTTCTGCGTGTTCAGAGTTTTCTATTTCTAACATGTTATGTTTTACGTGTAATGAACATATTTCAGTCGACTCATGGCAGACTTTACTCAATCCATATTTTTGCGAGCTTATGCATTTCCTTTTTGATTTTTTGATTTTGTCTAATTGGTCATCCAATTGTAGCTGGGGTTCTTCGGAGGCTTTTATGATTTTTTTCGGTTGCTTCGAGGTTTGCTTACCTCCATATTTAAGTTCCCAGTTTTGTTTTTCAGAATAATATTCGATGTGAGCATGACGCAAATCGTTTTCATTGTGAACGCCTGAAGAATTATTATGTGTGCGATGACTAGAAAGTTTATCAAAATCTGTGGTATAGTCATCAGGTCCTCTTATATTCCTATTTTCGGTATGTGTCGTCCCACACATTTCATGAGATTTATTAATAGTTGTTTTAAGGCGATCATTCACTTCAATAACCTGTGATAAACTACGATTGAAGTCGCTTAGAAGCTGATTGAAATCAATTTCACTTGGTGTGCTCTTCTTGTGGGAAAAATTTTGCTCCATTATAGATGACGTTTGTGAATCTCCCCTATTAGGGTTTACATGCTTCGCTGCAATAGCTGTTTTCAATTTATTGCTTGACATTATGGTCAAGTTTTCCACACGTTCTAGGGACAGGGGACTAATGGCCCCATGCAGTTCTTCCCATTTGCTTTTGCTAGTGTCGTTTTTTTGGCGAATAATTCGTTCTGGGCTATTAAATATTGAACTCGAAACTGTAGTGTCATCTTCCGAAGCCAGAGCAAAGGCTTTGGATTTCGCATAAGTCAGTGGAATACTATTTGTTTTATTTGACGATGTTCTCGATACATTATTTGAAGATTGAAGCAATTGAATTGATGTTGAGCTAAGGTTTGAGTTTATTTCCGATTGAGATTGCGTAGGATGTATATTAGAATTGCTGCAATTTGTATATTTCTGCTCTGTGTCTGTTTTAAAAATTTTCAATGATTCCCCTGAATAATATTTACTTTCTGCTGCGTGTGGTTGTTGTTTAAGTGATTGATTAAAGCAGTCAACTCTAGATAAAGATATTTTATCCGCAATATGAGTATTAACAGTTTTTTGAGATTTAATATCGATTTGGTTAATAGCTTGCCTTACATCTGCAAGGGCTTCGAGTTTGCGTCTTACGGCCATTATGAAATTGTATGGATAAATCTGCACCGCACTTGGCTTTAGCCAATACGGAAGATTATTTACAGTAATATTATCAGTATTAACTTCGCATTTTGAATGTATTTCGTCGCAACTTTTAATGATTGAGTCAACTTCATTTTCTTTCGATATTTCGCAGTTTTTAAGTTCGTCCGCCTGCGAATATTGTAATAAAACACAGGTGGGCTTTCGATATGTAACTTCCAATGGTATGTCTTCTCGATATTTTGCATTATCTTTGTCATTACTTAATGTTATTGGCACTGATTGAATACATTTTGGGGCCAACATTTCTAACGCAATATTTTCCTTATCAAAATTAAATTCTCTAATGGCACTAAATGAGTAATTCTCAGTTTCTGGCTTGCGCAATAATCCAATCCGCTTTTCTGGGAATTTCAGTTTCACTGTTTCTTTAATTGGGTCGAGAATTATCGATTTACGGTTACTATTACATTTACTTTTATCTTCAGTCTGTAAAAAATATATATTTTTCATCAGACATCTTACATAAAATATATATTGTATGTATGTATATGAATACATCTGATCACATCAGTTTCTAATATACAAATTGATTTTGTTTATTATTGCATTTTAATATACATATATCATTTCGGTAAATGTATAGTTTAGGTCCCCCAACTAAAGAGGCCTCAAAAATTAAAAATGTTTTTTTTAAATCGACTTATTTTTACGCGTAGATTACAAATCCGTGAGCGGAAAGAGAATTTTTTCAATAATTTATGTATATTTTTCAAAATTTATTTAACACACTTTGCACATATCACATATTCAAGTCACTTAGTTGTTGTTGTTGTAGCGGCAAAATTCTGTAGAATTCAGATCACAGTTCAGCGTGTTAAACATTTTCTTATAAAAAAAAGTATACTGAAGAAATGTAACAGTCACAATTTCTTTTGCGCCGCGATCTGATGGTATGGACGAATATCGGTTATGTTGTTGTTGTTATAACGATTATCTAATCCCCGTTTGGGTGATAAATTCTAGATTCGTTGTCGTCGAGGTCATCTAACGGAAGGCCCAGGAAACGAGCTGTTTCGACGGGGTCGGACCATAGGGAAAGGGGTGTTAGATGAGTGGGGTTTGTAGGGCATGCAAAGAGGTGGTTAGTGTCATGCGGAGACTCATTGCATGCAGGACATGTGTTTAGTATGTCGGGGTCTATTCTGGATAGGTAGGAGTTTAACCTGCTACAGTATCCAGAACGAAGTTGCGCGAGGGTCACTCTAGATTCGCGAGGCAACTCGAGCTCTGTGTCTGCAATGGGTGGTGGTTTGACTCGTATTACGCCATTCACTGAAAGGGAGTCGGTGAAGGTGTTAATGGCTCCACTGTGAATGGCGGTCAGTGCTTGTCTGAAGTTAGTTGCGTCCGAAGTCTGATCGACGTGCTGTCTGATGTCGTCGACGTAGTCAAGGAAGGACCTCTTGATGTTCCTAGGAGGCTGCTCCGCTGCAAGCAGACGTCTGCAGGGGTGGTTTCTGCGAAAACATCCCAGCAGAAACTGCTTGGAGAGGAGCTCATTATGTTCCTTAACCGGAAGCATACGGGCCTCACTGTGTAGGTGTTCGATTGGGGACATCAAGAGGCACCCCGTGATAGTCCGGAGTGCAGTGTTCTGACAAGTCTGGAGCTTCTTATTCTGCGTGTCACCACATCCAGGCGACCATATTGCGGCTGCATAATTGAGGACCGGCCGGCCGATTGCCTTGTATGTTGCCAACAACGTTTCTTTGTCCTTTCCCCATGAGCTGCCGGCAAGCGACTTGAGGATTTTGTTGCGGCTCTGTACTTTGGCAGTTATCGCGGTCGTGTGAGGAGTGAAAGAGCACAGACTGTCCAAAGTGACGCCTAAAATTTTAGGGTTATTTACTGTCGGAATTTTTGTGCCATCGACTGAAATGTTCAGGTCCAGTCTGTACTCCTTCGTCCAATTGGTGAAGATGGTCGCTGTGGATTTAGTGGGGGAGAGTGTTAAGTTCCTTGCAGAAAAGAAGCGAGAAAGATCGGAGAGGTAGCCGTTTACTTTTGAACACATGCCATCGATTCCATTGCCCGACGTCAATATCGTACAGTCATCTGCGTACGAGGTCATTGAAATTCCCGCTGGTGGCTGGGGGAGTTTCGAAATGTAGAAATTAAACAGTAGCGGGGAGAGGACACCGCCCTGCGGAACCCCCTGTTTAATTTTCCTGAGTTTGGAGTTTTGACCTCGAAATAGTACGGATGAGTGTCGACCGCTCAGGTAGTTCATGGTCCACCGCTTCAACCCTGGAGGGAGCGTTGATTGTTCCAGGTCCTCAAGTAGCGTTACGTGATTGACTGTGTCAAAAGCTTTTGACAAGTCCAACGCTACGAGGATCGTCCTCTCGCAGGGTGGCTTCTGGTTCAGGCCATGAACTATCTGGGCGTTTATGACGCTAAGTGCTGTGGTGGTACTGTGCACTTTACGGAAACCATGCTGATGGTCTGCTAGGCTCAGGTGGTGGGTGAATGACGGGAGTAACAAGGCCTCAAGTGTCTTCACTACTGGGGAAAGGAGAGTTATCGGGCGATAAGACTCCCCTTTGTTGGCGGGTTTCCCAGGTTTCAGTAGTGGGACCACTCTTCCGACTTTCCACACATCGGGTATTTGAAGAGTGGATATCGACAGGTTGAGGACCTTGGTGAGGTAGTTTACTCCCGTTGGGCCTAGATGTTTTAACATCAGCATGTTTATTCCGTCAGGGCCGATGGATTTGGACGATTTCGCCTTTTTGATGACATTCTGAACCTCCTCATCGGTGAAAGTAAGTGGTGCGCAGTCTTTTGGCATTTTGCGCAACCGTCGGGTAACACATCGTTTGGCCTTGTCGGTCAAAGGGTGCAGTATAAACTGCCGGCTAAAGTAGCTCGCGCACTTCTTCGGGTCCGAGGAGGCATGGCCATCGAATTGGATTTCAACCCGATCGTCATGTTTCCTCGGATTTGACAGGGCCTTGACAGTAGTCCAAAGCTTACTCACACCGGTGGAGAGGTTGCAGGACTTCAGGTGCTCTATCCATTTTGTCCGCTTATGATGGTTTACCATTTGCCGAATCTCCAAATTGAGATCCCTTATTCGGGGATCACAGGGATCGGCATGGCGTAAGGTGTCGCGCTCATTTGCTAATACAGCTGCTTCGGCTGGGAAATTAGGGCGGAGTTCCGCTATTCTTGGTCAGATTGGGAGTTGTGCTGTCTTTGTGAGCTCCTTAGGACCGTGGAGGTCCTATTTTGGCCACTCGACTGGAGTGGCAGCGCAGTGCGCGAACATGGTGCAGGTTGCACGGCCGTTGAGGCAGATGTCGCATTATTGCGTTGACAGCATGGGGCCACGTAACTCGTGGTCCACTCCCTGTGTGTCTTAAGGCCCGAGCAGGTCTTAAGATGGCTCCATCCATTGCATGTATTGCACCTAACCGAGGTGGAATTTGGATGGAGCCTTTTTGCGCATACGCAGCAGTAGAATACCTCGGGGCCCGGGTTGGACTCGATGCCAGCACGGGTCAGGAGGATACGGAGCAACCCTGCTGCTAGGCGTTGCTCCAGTGACGACAAACTTAATCTAAAACTTACCGATCCAAACAGGGTTAGATCGTCGAAATAACAGCCCTTGGCCGGATAAAATCCGGGTCAATTCCGGTATCGCAGAACCGGCTGTTGTGGGAATTGAGGTTATCGTTCCGTTTAAAAAAAAAAATTATTTTTAGGGCCTCGTTAGTTGGGGGACCTAAACTATACATTTACCATTATTTCTTCAATATTTATTCTTTTTGACACTGCATTTTATTAATAAATAATTATACTCACCTCCACATTTTTTACTACATTATCATTAGTAGTCGAAGGACAAAACTCCGCTGTTACAGCTTCACTTTTTTTAATTACGGGATCTATCTTTATATCTTTGATTGCTTCTCCACAATTATTTTCTTTTACATAGATTTGCTTAAGTAAGTCAAGATCAACTTTAATTTCTTTCCTTTCTCTGTCATCTAGTGCAATGAGGGACTTTTTTTTCTTATTAACATTTTTAGTAATTATTGTTCGAGAATTTCTACGAAGTTCTTCAAGCCTTTTTTTTATTTGTTCCTTTTCTATAACATTTTTTTCACCTTTTACTTTTAAGGCTGAGGTAGCTTGTTGAATGCGTCTCCTTCGCTTTTGATCTTTTAAAAACTTTCGAGCTTCTTCAACGTTGTAAGATTTCCTTTTAACGTCTTGTGCAGCTGTAGGCAAAAGTTCATGCGATTTAGTGTCCGGTGGATGACTGGACTTTGATCTTATAATAGATCCTACTCTCGTTTTTAAACGACGTTCGGATTGTAACACAGGTCTAAAATCAACTTCTGTCGTACATCTACGAAATAATTTGTTGCGTTTTTTGGCAATATTTTCCGCTTCACATTCTACTTTATCGTTTTCAGTTAATTTTGATTTATCTGCAGAATTATTAATAATTTCTGATAAATATGTGTTAAGATTTTTAATTTCTTGATCACACTGCTCTTTCATTTTAACAAACTCAATGCTTGTATTATCATTTGTACATATTTTTCGTGTTTCAAGTTCTATTGGTTTAATTATTTTTTTTGAATCAGATGTAGAATCATCCTCTTTTAGAGGATACACCTTTGGTTTGTTCTTATTTATTGGAGTTTTTATGGTGCTCGTATAAGAAATCTTAGCAATTTGTGTTTTTATTTGTTTTGGGCTTGCTGCGATACGATGTTTCCCATTATCTATTAATAAAAGATATTTTCAGCAGTACGACAATAAAAAATATACATACAAGTATGTAACAATAAGTTAATTGTATATCAGAATAATTGAAGTATTTAACTGCACCTTCAGCTCTTTTCCAAACCGGTTGATGCTCGCTCATTTTATATTTTCTTTCTTTTGAATATATACTTCGTCTTAGCATCCGAAATAATAAAGATTTCGGTATTTATTAAGTGTAAATAAACAGATTACACCTATAAAATTAGTTCATCTGTTACAAAAATACTACAAAAAAAAAATACTAATAACAACGACCAATAAAATATAAGCGCAACAAACCGAAATCTCTAACCAAAAGTGCTGCCAAATCGCAATGAAAAATGCTTAACCCAGTATACACATAGTACATTTTATCTATCTATTTTTTATATGATTTTTATTGACATATAAAGAATAGATAAAAAAATATCAAAAAAAAAATCGTCGAATTACTGGCCGGTAGAGTGGTTGTTGCAAAAAAATAAACGGTGGTTCCTGGTTGACGTGATCCCAACCCTTCTAGTGATCTAAAATAAACAAATTGGAAAAATTCTTTATTAGTATATATGTCGCGGATTGACCTTTGCTAAAGAACACAAAAATCACAAAATCGTGTCGACTTGATCTTCTCGATTTTTTTAAAAATAATTAAAATTAAAATTTTTCAAATTCCGAGGTAGGTGCGATAGAGAGATTTTTATCAAATTTTAAAGAAATCGGTTAAGAGAACTTGAGATATCATGTCGACCCCCTCAAAATAAGTAGTTTCGGGACAAACGCGTTTAAAGATAAAGTTGCCACGACGACAAACGGAAATAATTCGAATTTTTAAAAATCCTCTTAGGGAGATATTTCTGAAGGTTTAAACTTTGAAAACATACAAAAAAATAGATTTTTTCAAATTTCTGAACCAGAATACCCCCTCAAGCAAACCCAGTCGAATTTTACGGAAAAGATGAAATTCGAACAATCTTGGAAACGGAAAAAATGTGTTAGAACTATTTGATTTGATGGAACATAATGAGCTGATGAAGTTTTACGAAATCCTAGAAAGATTTTTATTTATGTTATTATTGGCATGGGAATCGAAATATTGTCGCCTACCTCCATTAGCACATCTTATACTGATGCCGATACATGTGATAAGCTAAACCAAAGGGACAAATGCTTCAAACAGTCACCGACATTCCTCCCTTCCTTTCTTACCGCACGTATCAAACCAAATTTGTCAAAAGTTATGGCACAAACAGTCACCGACGCAAAACCGTAGACCGAATAAGCTGATACGACCTCTCTTATGAGAGCGCAATGTAAATGAACACTCACCACTATTTCCAAGGATGAAATCATAGATAAAATGATTCGAAACTCCTCTCTTTGCTTTTTGAGAGAGCTCATGAACTTTCAGTGCTGCCAAGAAAGCCACGAGTTCATGAGCTACTGAACATATGACAACCAAAACAATGAGCTACCACTAAAACTCCCGCAGAAATAATATGCGAAATCAGTGGGTAATTTGTGAGATCAGATTTTTTGGTGACTTTTACGTATCTTCTAATCTTTATTGAAAGAGATTTAATATAATTTCGTGGTTAAGAACGAGCGGTATTTTGTCGCAGAGTATTGTTTTGCTTAGCAGTACCAATTGCCAACGTATATACTTATTTTGGTTAGAATTCCCAGCAAATGTTATGTAAACTTTGACTTCCGAATAAATTATCAAAAGATATTTGTTTATTGAGCATATAAAAAAGAAATAAGGATCATGTTTAGGTTATTTAAAACTTGTGTGTTTTGAAATATTAAAATATTTTGTTAAATTTAGTTTTAACGTTAATTTTGAAAATCTTTTGTGATTAAAAAATACATGTACTTATATTTAGAAGTCATATAGGATATCTAGCTTGTTAAACTAATTTTAATTATGTACATTTTTCTGTAAATTGGAAACCGAAAAATACCCAATAAATACATTTAAAAATCTCAAAACTTATTTCTTTCCTTAATGGCACCACTTACAAATGTTATAAAAAATGTGGACTTTGACAGCGCTCTTTCAAATCAAAGAGTTCGGATCAGAGCTGTCAAAATTCAATGATTCGAGAGAGAGCTGTCAAAATCCACATTTTTTATAACATTTGACAATCATGCCACGTCGAAAGAAAATGGATTAGGCATTATAAAAAAAACTTTTGGGTATTTTGCATTTCGATATTATTTTTAGGTGCTCCGTTTCCGAGTAAGCCTATATAACGCATATACATCCCTAAATACCTGTATTAATATTATAAAATTTTTAAAACATCATCTAACATAAAAAATAGCATATAAATAAAAAAAATGATAACAAAGAAACAATACAAGTCATAATAAAATATCATGGTTTTATGTTATATAAATAAAATTTAGCTGCACGTTATTCAAAAGTATTTGTGTCGTTCCTTGAAATTTCGTTTCGCACTGCTTTTGTTAGCTATTTTTAGCAGGTTTATTTCTGGGTTCCCACCTTTTTTGACATCCGCTGTTCGAAATATCGGTAAGATATCCGCAAAAATTGGATTTTTTCCGTAGAAACGAGTGAACTGAGAGTGAGAGAGCAATCTCTTGCAACGCAGGGGTGCCAGTCTCAAGATTTTGTAGTAATTAAAAAATGAACTTGAATATATTTGAAATATTCTTAAAATAACTCAAAATCACAGTCGAATACACTTATTTATAAATAGGTAAACTATTTTTAATAGTTGGATTTTAGTTTTGAGCTTTTACATTATGAAAAATTATAACTAAAAAACTAAATGTGTGAAAAATCGTGTATACGAACAATGGCAACATTGGTGAAATGAAAACAAAAGAGAACAACTGATTTCTGCGTTGAAAGCCTCATACCGTGGTTACAACTACGGGCTACTGAGATATATGAAGAAAAAGTCAACCAGAGGGACGGAAATCATTATTTTAGGGGTATGGAGTCTAGGCTAGGCTTTGGTCTGATTTCATTCGTATTTAAAACTAAACCAAATTATTATTAACAAAGCATGTCCATTTAGTTTGATTAAATATGGGACGCTTGTTGACAAATATTAACGGTAGAAAGTAAACTGGAAAGTAGAAAATCTCTATTTTCCACCACCAGTTAACAAAAAGGCTGGCCCCAGCAGCTTCTTCACTTCATTCGGAACGACAGCTCCTGCGCCCAACTATTTCGACTCGACACCACTCCGCACGCATCTTATACATTCGTTTTTGCCTACGGGCCTGGGCGCCAGATCAACTTTTCGACAACAACGATCCTGCGCGTTACTCCTGCTGATTATAATCGATCGGCATCTTCCCAAAATAGTACTTTACAGATATGTATTAACAACAATAATAATAACTGGCTTTTGTATGTAATATAATATATTACACGAGAAAAATAATTTTTTAAGCATTGCATAGCTTTTATCGCGAACTTTGAGGGCGGTGACCGAATCAAAAAATTCCGTAACGAAAATAAACATACTTCTGCATACTTTTAGACGCATTTTCGCATATCTCAAGCCGAACAAATTAATTGAAGATACGGAGCAGGGCGATTGAAAATTAATAATCTTTAAGATACAGTTTTTTTAATAGCAAATAAAAATATGGAATTTAAAAAAATTTAATTGATAAACAAGTAAGGATGGGATAAGTGCGGATGTAACCTAACATTTTATACTCTCGCAAAATCAAATAATATATAGTCAAAATATTTTAATAATTAGAAGTAGGAACTGTTGCCTCAGTTATTTACATTCAGAGTGAAATTAATTAGAGCAATTTGTAAATCGTTCTTGTGATTTGTTGTATACGCTTATAATTGATTTTATATAGAATGAATTACAACTGTATTGAGAAATATGAAAAGAAATCGTTTTTTGACAATGGATGACATTTTTTATTTATTATATCGATATTACTATACAGCTAAACATTAAAAATAATAAATATTAACAACTTTAAAAATTATATTATTATATTAATTTGTATATAATGTTTACAATATTAAACATAAATTTCATAGAGATCTTATACATATATCCAAATTATATTTCTTTTCTCCTTATACTATTTAATTTCTATCATATATTTATACAATAATGTCTTATATAATTACAAATTATACATATTTAAATTTGCTTAATTAGATTGTTTACATACTTTTCTTAAAATTGTCTTAAAAACTACTGCCAAAGATGCTATATTATTCTAATTTTATTTTATTTAAAAAAAAAAAAAATATAAGAACTATTGAACTAAGTCTGAAAACTTTAGTTTGAAATAGAGACACAAATACTGTCATGATAGCTGTCTATTCTCTTAAAAGAAATTGCATTAGCATGAGAAGGATCCATGTTTGAAAATGCCCAATCAATTTGTATACCGGCAGGTGTAGTTGAATATTCTACACCAAGCAGGGAACTAAAAGTTTTTTTCTAGGAGCATATTTCCTATTGTAGTCCCTGTAGACATTAAACATTTGTTAAAATCTCCAACTATTAGCACATTTTGATTGCATAACTCAGAAGTAAAGACTTCCTGAAGTTCTACAATTAAATGTCTGACAGAGAAAGCTGAATGTATAAAATCGAAATATTAATATTGAAACATTTAAACAAACCCGTCTCTAAAACTTTGCGGCCTAAATAAAGTTTCTTTACAGCCTTTGGTTCTATAGAGCAAGCAATACTGCCGTTTATTTCTGTTACTTGTTTCCGTGCCATCTATCCTCAGCTCGTTAATTGGAGTAAATCCTGGTGTATCAAAATTTTCGCAAGTATTCAAGTTTCTACAAAACAAAAAATATCTGAAGATAGCATCAAACAGTCGCTTTTTATATCATTAATGTGAGCGTAAAGACTCTGAGAACATTATGGAATAAAATTTGATGTACCGTTACAATAAGTTTTCTTTATTTCTTTCAATTAATTTACCAAAGATGTTAATAAGGTAACACTGGTTGTTTGTCAGTATGAAACCGTTTTGTTATTGTGTAAATAGAAAGAATTCGATACAAAGTTAAATATTGAGTTAAAGCTATTTTTGCACTATATTTGTAAACTATAGACGGAAACATCTCGAAAACTATAAGTTTCCCGCGGTTATATCTACATATATATATTCTTGATTTGGAGGACCTCCTCTATCCGCACATACACATTTTATCCACGAAATGCTGGAACGGTATTCTAAAGACGACCAATTACTTTTAGCTGTTTATAAGTTTTCGCTTAACTTTATTTTGTATTTTGTTATCACAGAGATTTAACCGGAATTCCACTCGTCTCGTTATCCTGATCATTTATATTATGTACATATATGTATATAGCTTTATATCTATCTCGATAAGTTTTAGGTGTTACAAACAACTGTCAGGTGAAAAAACTGTTATACTCTCTAATAACATGTTGCGAAAGTATAAAAATGCATGTCAATATTAATTAAATAAATCACAAACGAAATTAACAGAAACAAAAACAACAAGTAAGGAAGAGCTAAGTTCGGATGTAACCGAGCTCTCGCAAAGTCAAATGCTATACTCGTTTTAGATTTCCTTGTGGATCTTGCCGCCTTGTTCTTTGTTGACCGATATTTTCGGTAAAAAGTCAACTATAGGCACCGGGGTCCACATATTCAGTACCTAGGAATTGAACAGCTCTGGTTCAATTTAGATAATTTTTGGTCACAAGGTGGCATACTTTAAACGTATTATTCACGCAAAGTTTTACGCCGATATAATCATTGTTGCTTGATTTGCATACTGGAAAGTGAAAAAATCAGATGGAATTTAAAACGATGTTATATGGGAAATAGGCGTGGTTGTAATACGATTTCGTACATTTTCGTACTATAACATAGAAATATAAGAGCAATATTATGTACCGAATTTGGTTGAAATTGGTTAAGTAGATCCCAAGATATGGGTTTTCACCTAAGAGTGGGCGGTGCCACGCCCACTATCTAATTTTTAACGTGGTTCCTATAAAATCATCTTATACCATCCCAGAGATAAAATGTAATGTCTCTGGCTTGGGTAGTGCTTTATTTATCGCGCTTTTAGTAGTTTTTAACAGTACCGTTACATGGGGAGTGCGGCAGGACCATGCCCACTTTAAAAAAAATTTAAACTGCAGA